AGTTCCTAGTTGAGTTTGTTCACTTTTAATATCTTATAAATTATACTTGCCTTTAACAGTTGCCCCGTTGAAGTAAACATAAATTTTATATTTTCCGGGTCTTCTAGTGTGTAGAGAGACGTTATAAATAGAATTTCCTAAATGGTCAATCGTATGTGGAAGTGACTGTTTATCGTGTACGATGTCAATTTCTATTTTCCCTAGACCACCCGTTCCTCTAGCGTCTAAAGTCCAATTTACTATGCTTCCCGCAATAGCTGGCCTATCCAAGCCAAGCAACTAAACAATAAAACAGTGAAATTTAATAATGTTGTGTCAGTAGTCTTTCAACGATTCCTTTGATTTGTTTTACTTTAATTCCATTTGGGTCGAATACAAAACACGTGTATGGACTACCCTGAATTAACTGTCCACGGTGTTTCACGGCAATGGTCCATTCTCCCGGTTCGTCGGGTTGGAAAGTCGTCCGATATGCATCTCCCGATTCTTTAACAGGACATTCTAATTCTCGGCCGTCAGGACTCATTGCCAATACTTGAATATTTTGAGCTTTTGCACCGTTACAATTTATCTGGAAACGAGAATGGAAAACCTCACAAATAAAACTTCAAACWTTAGGTGCATGCTTTAGAAATTTCGAGAATGTGCACTGAAAAGTTACCTGGACTTCGACTATTGATCCRACTGCACATGGCTCCATACCAGAGTGTTTGATTTCGGACACTTCAGGCATAGCTCGTATAAACATTGGGCACCCTTGGATCACATCGTCGCCATTGAAAATCGTAACCTGTGCAATAAACACAAACATTACAAATTGAAACCACGAACCGTGTCGACTACGTAAATAATATATATACATCCAACCGAGGGAAAACAAATGCATACTTTATACATTCCAATTATGAGTGGCACGAACGTGCATGTACCACCATTGGATTTTAAATTCAAATTACACGGTATAGTATTGAGTTCCGGTCCAATTATTTCCACCGTGACATCGTTTGGGTCTACTTCTGCATCCAAAAATGTCACTTTAAAACTAGTCTAAAAAAAATGTCGATTTATTATTACGTTAATTCTAATTTACATTCACTTGTAATTAACATTATAATATTGCTTTAATTCAATTAACCTACTGGTTTATATACTCTAGTGGTGTGGGTGTCACTATGGGCGCGTACGGTATGTGATGGTCGGGTGCGTGGCTTTACCCATTGGAAATTAGATACGTAAGACATCATGCCTAAATGTGAAGCGTTCAGACTAGACACATCTTTGGCTTTTAACAGCGGTTCGACGCCCAACTTTTTACCAGCATTCATCCCTATATACGTATAATGAATATACTTATATTTTAGCAAAGAAAATATCAGCAAACGTTTCACGGATAAAAATATTTATACCCCATGGCACATACCAGCGTTTAAGTTGGACTCCCAGACATCGGGGTCGTCAGATTTTTGGTACTTGGCCGGGACGCCGAGAGATTTTGTCAATTCACATAATACAATACCGTCTTTCCAGTCAGTCTAAAATATACAAATCGATGAATTTGCATGTTTGTCTAAAACTAACGAAAAYACTTACTGTGAAATTAGACACCGTGTGAGTTTTCAGTTGACTATTCACCCAGTTCAGTGTGGCCTTAGTACCAGGACTCTTATCTTTCATAAAATAGGACAGATACGTCATACCCGATAGTTCATCTAGATAAGGTGAAGCTAAATATTCAGGTTCAAGCACCATGGGAATATTGAAACGATCTCGGGCCAATTCCATAGCACGGCGGCAATTGTTCACGCTATCATTGGGGTCCAAATTTTTCCAATGGGGAAACAATCCAGGTTCACAGTAATCCAACAAAGACGAAAGACATATTCCAGAATTCCAATCTGTGGTGAAATTATTTACGCGACATTCCGGCAATACAGACTATTCATACGAAACCAATAAATTAATAATTATAATTTTACAATTGTTAACATAATATGAATATATTTTAAATTATACATTCRTAGGAGTAGATGTACGCATGCATATAACTATTATACCTTGAGCCATGCCAACATGAGTTTTTTAGGTGGAAATTTCGATCGCCCGATTTGATAACGAACAATCAGTGACCAAATAAGTCCTAAAATTAATTTCAGATTCCCATTAACGATGTCTTCGTTTCCTAAAAAAAAAAAGTCAAATCGTAATACTGGAAAATAACCTGAACCTAAGATAAAAGTATTGTAGGTACTTTTTTTAGCTTCCATTGATATAGCTAAAGTTTATACTTTATTAATTTAAATATTAGGTCATTAATTCTAACTAACCCGATATTCGAAACATATATATTTCAAGGTGCCTCTTTGGCTCTATATTATTATTTTTTTATTTAATGCTAATATATTGTGTGCTTAAAAAAAATGGGGATATGCTCCGCCTATTTAGTAGGTATCTAATTGTGTCCATAATCGTAATATCATTCATACATGAAAAATTATCCGATCATATTTTTATAGAAGCATGGCGATTCTAGTATAGCATGTGAGGTCAATACACCCACATGAATAACTATTGCATACTTCGCTCACTGTTTTGTATTGTATAACACTCCCTATTTGGCGATACTACCCAACACCTGTTCAACATCAAAAAAAAAAAATCATAATTCTACCCGCAGAATGTAGTTGACGGAGTTAACCCAGGTTATTTGTATTTGAACGATTTTATTTAATACTATATTAATGTTTAATCGGAGGTATTTATARGCGTAACACATGATGAGCGTGATGCGTGGTATCGGTATGCAAATGCACCACCTGCGGTCTACGTCTTATCAGGCAGGAAAATAATTTCCAGAACAGGTTAATATACGATTTACAATCTAAGAAGGGTACGAAAAATTATATCCCCCGATTAAAATCCAAAAAAAAAA